TACCACAGCGCTGCGACGGCGCTAGAATGAAATGGTACTTAGTTTCCGAATATGCTACGTATATTTAGAGTTTTTGTTGCATGAATCACGAAAATTAGCCCGTTTTTCACCTCTTATGTCATCAAAAGATTTACTTTTTGCGATGAATTAAGTGTTGCATTCCTTTGCTAGTTCTTCCAGACGCAGCCAACTTTCACCTTGTCGAATTGAATCAAGAAATAAGTTCCATGCTTCACCCTTTTTAGGTACAGAAATCGATAATACCTGTACAGCTTTCAAAAGCTTATCTAATGAAGGTGTATTTTCTACCTTGTTACTAGATTTGTTGTTAGTTTCAATTTGTATCAAACGTAATTTCACAATTTCCTCTGAGTTTTTCTTTTCTTCAACCATAGTATTAAAGAATTCCGTGACAAAATCTTTATCTTACAAATATTCTTTAGAGCTTAAAAGCTTATCTTTTAACTTTATAACTTTTAAACTGGAATCAGCTTCTTCACTGAGTTACATCAACAATGAAATTAAATCACTTTTAATTACTCCCTTAAACATATTTATAAGAAATTTTCTTAAAAATTACAACAAAAATTTCTCACCTTTTAGCAAAATCTAGTCACCTTCGAACTCTCTGGTTTTTGAAAGAGAGCGGGCTGTCATACTTGTCGGAATGGCAGACAAGTGACACAATATATTATTGGGAATTTAATCCTTTATTATATAGAAGCACGACTTTTATGTGCAAATATTTACATGAGGTTGATATTATATGGTTTAAGAAAATAACTCAGATGAAACACAGGTGTTCAATACCTTACCAAATAAATCAGCCACGCTGGTTAAATCGAAACTGGAACTCAGTTGTAAATGCCCTATCACGCTTTCTGCAGACAACTCTCATCTGTCTGACTTGCTGGATTCTTCCCACGAGGTAGACAGCTGATTGCCTGACCGCAACCAGATACATGACAACAATGTTATAATTTTGCATATTATAAGCCTAAAAATGATTTTTATAACAAAACCAAAAAATTAACTGAGAAAAGGAACATTCATTCACAAAGAAAGGTTTGAAGTTAAATACAATACATAGAGTACTTTAGAAGTTCAGCCCTGTGATGACTGACAGAAATTTTTTATTGTAATCTGCTTTCTTGATGAGTGCTGTTTCTTCACTGCCAAGTCTTGCATCTTTACAGCATCACTATATTGATTCCTGTAGCTTCTTGCTGTTCAGTATATTGAATTGCATTCTCTAAAACCTTGACTTCATTGTTATAAGAAGGCCCTTCAGCGGCTGAGAGGTAAAGTCACTGAACACTGGTAGTTCGGTCCAAGGTTCAAATCCCATGAACGGTCTGGCAGCATGGGCATTTTCATGGTTTTCCCCATGTGTAACGTGTATATGAGTCAGTTTCCCTTAGAAAGTCCTCCATGAAGGTGTCCCTCCCCTTAGGCAGATAGTGCTAGTGTGATTTGCAATAATTAAATAAACCAAACCATTGTTGTGAAAATGATTTTTATTTTAGAAATTCTGCAAGGTCAATACTTGTTGCTTGATCTTGATCTTCAGTTTTGTTTTCACCACAAATGACAAGAACAATAATATTTTCAGTTATTTCATATTGATCATCATCCATTGTTCAACTTTCGATTTTTAATCAAAGTTGCATCTTTACGTCCAGGGATATGGGACATTAAAAGTAGAATGGTTTCTTCAGTTTCATCTTTTAACCACTTCTTAGAAGCTTCTTTTATGTTGACAATTGTTGCAGCCCTTATGTCAGCCCGGACCCTAACAATCCAATAAGCAACATCCTTTACACTGATGCATTTCAATTTTTAGCCCAAAGACGTAATTTACCCAGAAGGGCTTTTAATTTCATTTAGGCATTTTGCGTCATCCACTATAAAATGGCCTTTTACTTTTCAAATTGTTGTCAACAAATATTAGAGCCCTGCATTGTATTTAAAGAAATTAAATAATGAAGAATCTGCATGAACTTATGTATGTTTCTCACATTGTGAAAAAAACGGTACCTAGAGACATCAAATTTTTAATAACGTAGTCCTCCACTCGTATGTGGACGTCTGGAAGTTGAAATTTTGAATTTGTTTTATTATCTATTTCATATTTTGTAAAGCTTTAACAAATTTTTAATTAACAAATTCAGTGATTTCAAAGCGAGCAATGGCAATATTGCAAGAGAGAAAAAATATCTCCCACGTGCTAGACTGTTGTACAGAAAAAAAAAAAAAATTTTATCTCCAGCGCGTGAGACTGCATATCGGAAATTCTAAAGATATGCTGTTTTTTAATATTTCATGATATTGTTGTTGAATTGAGTTTTATGATTTAAGTGCAACAAACATGATATTGAATAAATAAAGGTAACACACAAAACATTTAAAAAATGCTACTTTCGTCATAATATAAAATCTGAAAGCAGTCAGATTTTTTTGTCATCATATTTTGTCTTTATTCAGAGTGGTGTACAGTAGTTCCTTCTTATCATTTCCAAAATGCCCTGTTTCTTAGGTTGGCGTATGGTGGCTACACTTGGTGGGAGTGGAAACATCATCTTAATGTCACCATCTTCAACTTCCTCTGCATTGCATGTTGGAGCATTATCTAGCAAAAAACAGTTTTTCTGAGTAAATTATTTTCTTTCAAAAACTTCTGTGATGAAATAATGAATTCTTTTAAAAAAAAGCTTCTTAAAGAACTAATCATTGAAAATTTCACTGCTCATCTATGTACTTTCCTGACAATAGTATTTCCCAGGAAGGGTGTTTTTTGAAACTGTTACGAACTCTTGGATTTTAGGACTTTCTAATCATCACAATGCCTATTTTAAGGTTTGTTGTAGCATTAGTGCCTGCTAAAATTGTTCAGGTTTTCTGTACTGTGTTTACAGCTAAAGCTGCCGCCTTAGTTCTGACTGCAAGATTCTTACTAAGTAAAATTTGTAATTAAGACCTAACTCATAACATTTAATTATCTGATCATCTGTTAGGCTTTCAGTTTCAATTTATTCCTGCAAATATCCTATGTGCAAACAGTTCCATGGGCATCTTTAATCATAGTTTTTCAAACAGTTTTTGGCATTTGAAAGAAAGATATTCGCTTTAGAACACTATATTCCGAAATTTGTAAAAAAATATCGTTATTAATCAAAAGGTGTCTAAAATGGAACTATCGTGCTGTCAGATTAGAACCACCATTTACTTCCAGTTCTGTTGCAAAAAGACAGCTACAGAATGTTACCAAGTCATGAGTACAGCTTTAGATACTAATGCTGTATCATATGACACTGTGTAGGTTTGGTACCGGAAGCTCAAAAACCAAGGATTATGACATTCAAGAAGCAGAGTGTCCTGGCCTGCCTACTGATGTTGATGAGGCCCGCTTGCTAGAACTTGTGGAAGAAGATCAGTATGCAACCACTCGAGAGCTTGCTAAGGTGTTAGAACCATGTCCATTAGTCGTTCTATGCATCAAATGAACTTGACGTACAAGTTCACTCCCTGGGTGTCGCATGAGTTGACCCATCCAGATAAGGATAGACATGTTTGGGCCTGCAACTAATCTGTTTGAATATCAGCATAAGGACAAAATTCTGAACCAGATCGTCAGTTGTGATGAAATGTAGATTTATTTCAAAGACACAGGCCGAAAAGGGGTTTGTCTGCGCCCGGTGAGTCCATCAGTTGCGCGATTTGAGCATTGCAAAATGCAATTTGACTAACAAAAAAAAAACAAAAAAAAAATTTTTTTTTTTAATTTTGTAGTTACATAGTTAACTGTGACCAAGACTAACTATATTTTTACATTATTATAGAAAAAAAAAAAAAAAAAAAAAAAAAAAAAAAAAGGTAGAATTCACTACTGCTTTCCATTTTCTTCCTCAATAGTCAGCATTATAAAACAGTCTAGCAAATATAATCGTGATGCACCTAATTTTTTAAATATTAAGCTAGCTGTTTAATGAAAATGTACACTAAGACCTTCAAAAAAAATTTTTTTTACTTTGTTTTTAATTATATTTCTAAATTGCATTCTTTCCACCTGCTTGGAATTTCGAATCAATGTATATTTATTGTAAAAACTAGACACCTTTTTTATATTATATTCTCTGATGTAATAAAGAACGTCCAATAAATTTGCAAACATTAAAAAGTTACATGAAATCAACAAACTGGCATACCAGAATGTGGTATGCCCACCAGCGTCCGAGCGGTAAAGTCGCTGAACACTGGTAGTTCGGTCCGAGGTTCGAATCCCGCAAATGGGCTGGCTGCATGGGCGTTGTCGTGGTTTTCCCCATGTGTAATGTGTATACGAGCCAGTTACCCTTAGAAAGTCCTCCACGAAAGGCATCCCTCCCCCTAGGGAGATAGCCCTAGAGTGCTTTGCCATAATTAAATACACCACACCAGAATGTGGTTTACACACTAAGGCAGGTATTTTATGGTGCAAGAATGAATTTTAGTTGACATTTCTATAAATAAATGGCACTATTAATAATACTATATGAATATAATGAGAAAAAATTAGGATGTGTGGCATTATTTGTTTGTATTTATGAACATACTACAGTGTCATTAATAGTGCTGTAGTCCATCACATTTTATGATACTAATGGCATATCTTTATCTTTAAGTGAAAATTCGAACTAAAATTTGCTTAATGCCCCCTCCCCCCCCAAAAAAAAAATTCTCCTTCAAGCTACAAATTGCAGTCTTAAGTTATAGATAACACTCAAATTGCAAATTGCATTCTAATAAGCCAACTGGTTGATTCTATGCAATTTTTAAAAATGTATCTAAATTTATGGGACACCTTGTATTTCAATTCTTTTCTTATTTTCCTAAATTAATAATTTTTCACATTCAAAAGATTCCTGGAGAAATTTTGATATTTTGCTAATAAATATTTTTTATTCATCTTCAGTTTTGTGTGATTTTATGATTAATATTTTTTTATATCTGTGTTCTTGCAGAGCAAGCAAGTAATTATCGGAAAAAATTAGGCATTTTTGTTTACCAAGTTGCTGAAGGCATGGTAGTATTTTTTATTATTTAAAATTAAAATATTCCTTTTATGTGAAGATACTACATGTAATTTGTTATAATTTATGTTAAGCTGTATTAATTTCTCATTCTTTAATATATATATTTCTGGACAATACATTATCTTATATCATATATTTAATATTGATGAAATCAAAATTGCTGAGGAATTCTATGTTAATTTTTTATTTATGAGCTGCATTTTGAATTAAAATTTATATGAATGTAATTTTGCTTTTAAAAAGCTCATGAAATATTTTGAATGCTAAATTAAATTAAAATGAAACATTATTAATGTGTGTGTTCATGTATGCGATTAATGTTACAATCAAATACTGAAAATCCGCCTACCTGAAATCCGCCAACTCCTGAAATTCGCGTTGTCTCTCTAAATATAAACATTCAGTTTATAGGTTCTGGAAACCGCAACATTGAGTACGAAATATCGAAGAAAAAATACTTACCGAATAAGGACGTCATAATTATCGAATAATAATGAGTCATAACAGAAATACCAAATTATTGACTTCATGATAAAAGTTTTTTCTCCTCTAATCTGCATTGAGGTAAGAAAGCAGATGATTCACTCATCGCTTCGTTCAAGTTCACGATCCACGTTATTGTATTTTCTAAGCTTTGTTATTTCACGAGATCATTTAGTGCTGCCTTTTTTTATCCAGATATTTTGTGGATAAATTAAGAATATTTTAAATTTCAGCCCTTTTTAATATATAATTAAAGATAAGAAATGCACTCATGATATTACTGCTTGCAACGTTGAGAAACATAAACACATTGCATTGACGGTAATGCAAAAAGTGCAAATTCTGCAAAAGATGGAGATAGGTGCATTTTATAGCAGCATTGTATGGAATTGCGATACAATCGTGTATGATATACGAAAAATAAAGAAAAGCTGTTGAAATTTTACAGCAACAGTGATTCTAACACCGGAATCCGAAACCGGAAATCTGTGCATGAGGCGAAATCGGCAAACCTCGATGCTGTGTATATAATACAATGTAATAATATGTAATAATAATTTAATACATATAATAAGTTATTGCAATAATGTATATAATAATTTAATTAAATGTATTTTGCAGATTTCTGGACTTCTACTGTATAAAAATTGATTTCTTTATTACATTCAAAAATCTTTTTAAATTCAGCTAGGTATTGGATGTTTGATTATAACTGCAGAAAATCTCAGTGATTTTGATTTCAAAATGAAATTTATTTCACTAATTTTGGATATATCTCATTACTGAGGAAACTAAATTGAGATCATATTTTAAATCTAAAATTAATATTTTCCTAAAGTCATCATTTTTAACATATAAATCAATAGTTTCTCAAAGCATAAGTTATTTCCTGTGAACTTTTTAGCATATACTTTTAAAATTTCAGGAATATTTATCTTCTCTCAAAATGATTCACAGAGATATAGCTGCTCGTAATATTTTGTTAGAGACTGAAAATTCTGTGAAGATTTCTGATTTTGGGCTGTCTAAAGATGTGTATACAACTAAAAATTACATTTCCTGCAGCAATCAAAGATTGCCGATCAGATGGATGGCTCCAGAAGCAATTGAAAGGAAAAAGTTCAGTACATTTACTGATGTGTATGTAAAAGCTTTATCATTTAAAAAATATTTTCTAAATGTTTTTAAAAGCTGTATATTTTATTTTTTGAATTTGAGGCTGAAATATAATATGGCATATTTTGATTGAATTGACTGAAACTAAATGATTGATTTTGCACGTCTGAATAGTGACTCTTTTTATCCAGTCGTTTAATAGAAACATATCAGTATTTAAGTCTTGTTGCATTTTTGCTGCCAGATGAAAAATACTCGTATTTTAAGAGAGCTGCACTTCATTAGGAAAAATTCTCATAATGTTGTATTATAACTATTTTGTTTTTTCAAAAAATTTGAAAGGACTCAGATTTTAATGGTTGTCCAAAAAGGGTTTAAGGTTTCTCTGTGCTCTTGATGAGCTCACAGTCTACCAATCTCCTGCTGCACTCACTCCTGCTAATCCATTTTCTTTGCCTTTTTAGCTTTTTATTGTTAACCATCATTTTCTTTGCACTTATGCCATTTAAATTTCAACACCAAAACTACAAAAAATTTTAAAAGCAGCATGTGTTTAGAATTCCCAATGAGGTATTGGCATACATTATTCTGTTTTTTTTCTAACCTGTTCTCAGTTTCTCATATCAATGTACAGTTTTCTTAGTAAGATGACTAGCAAAGCCTTTTTTTTCCTGTTTATTATTAACATTTTGTGTGGTGAATTTATTAATTACTGTATTTGCCGGCGTATAAATCTTACTTTTTTTTCTTTAAAAATAGGTCTAAAAAATGGGATGTGTCTTATATGTTAATACTCAATTTTTGATTACATTCATTTCTGGAAATTTCCCCTATTCAGAGTTATGCGACCTTTTTTCTTGTTTCCTTGCAAAGTGTGGGAATATTAGTTAAGTAGAGTTCAGTGAATGCGCATGTGCTGTCATCGACGATCGCAGCTGGTTTTGTTTAAAATTTCCAATTTTTGTGAACGACTTTTAAGTGTGTAAAATTTCTGCTGTTCACTTTTTAAAAATTTGTTAGCAAGTTATGTCTCAAAAACAACCTTGGCATTGCTATAGCATAGCATACAAGCTATGTATGATTGTGTATGCTAAAGAACATGGAAACAGGGCTGCAGAGAGGCATTTCGGGGCCACCCCTAACTGAGAAAATCAAAAGAGCTTGGCGGAATTATAGTGATTGGTAATAAAGTTTTATCCTTCAAAAATGTGTATGAAAAAGTGGGTGCGTCTTATAGGCTGGTGCATCTTATACGCTGGTAAATATCATGTTTTCTTGTGCTTATGCCACATAAAATTCAATTGAACAGCAAAATCACAAAATATTTAAATACAGCATATCTTTAGAATTTCTGACATACATCTTGCATGCTGAAGATACAGTGTTTTAATCCATTCAGTATTGCTATTGTTCGCTTTCAAACTGTTGAGTTTGTTAAAAATTCATCAAAGTTTCACTAAATATTAAATATAAAATTAAAAATTCAGCCTTTCGGGTATACAAGTTTGGGTGGAAGATTATGTTATTCAAAATTTGATGACCCTGGATACTGTCATTTTTTCACAGTGTGCAAAACACATGCATTCATGCACATTATTTAATCTCTTTAAAAATAATACTGGGTGATAATATTTTGTGGCAACAATTAAAAAAGTGATTCGTATATTTAAAGTGGTACACCTCAAAATCCCATTTCGAGACAAATAGCCCATTCAAGCTAATGCTCTTTTGGGCTAATAAATTTTAGGAATATGATAGTTTGCTCGAACCTTTAAGGATAATTTACACATTTTTATGAGTAAATTTTTAAAACAATTATATAAAATATTATGGCAAATAAACGAGGGAACTGGTTGACTATTTACAATTTCATTTTGAGTTCAACTTTTAGAAAAAGTTGAATGAGTGAGATTTATAGATTTCTCATGTTGAATAAATATAAACAACTATTTTTTTGCAGGTTTTTCATAAAAAGAATATTGATAGAGCTACAGTATGATAATTTAACTGGTTAATTTTTTTTTGTTTAAAAAGACTGATAATAGAAAATTCCTGTAAACTTAAAGCATTTTAAGAGATTCTTTTTTATATCAGTAGTACTTGGAATTGTTAATAATCATGTTTAATTATGTTTTGGTACATGGAGTTTATGTTTGGTAAGTTAATAATTGTGTTTAATTTTGTAAACTTGTAGTTTGTTTTATAAATCATTCATTTAATTTTCTAAACAATCTTTTTATTATTGAAAATATTCTTTACCTTCATTATTCTTTAGTCTGCTTACATATACACTGGTGTGCAAAAATTAAGGACGAAGTCGAAAAATTAGCATATCAGCTGAACGAAGAGGCAGAGCGGACAGAAAGACCAATCAGGAGATTAAGTAAGGTGATGTACGGTAGCACATGCGCAGATATGCAGGTAGACGTAATGGGGGAGTGTCTGAGTAGTATAAAGCATGTTTCGGTGTAAGATCACTACTTCTGGCAAAGAGATTGCACGCTGTATAGCAGTTAAAATCACACCGAGTTGCTGCCTCAGCGAGAAATGGCGAATAATCAATCTGTTAGACGACATCTGGATGCGTTTACCCGAGGTCGAATCATTGGAAAGTTGGAGGAAGGCTGCAGTGTGACAAGTGTGGCTGCAGAGTTCGGAATTGCTCACAGCATCGTTTCACGACTTTGGAGACAATTTCAAACTACAGGAACAGCTATCCGAGGGTTTAGTAGTGGTCGTCCACGAAGAACCACACCCGCAGATGACCGGTATATTGCCTTACAGGCCAGAAGAAACAGGCGGCAGACAGCGGGAGAAATTTCTAGACACACGACACAGGCAACTGGACGACCGATATCGCGTTTTACCGTGGCCAGAAGACTGCACGGTGGTGGTCTGTTTGCACGACGCCCTGTACGGTGTGTACCTCTAATGTCTGCCCATCAGAGAAGGCGTTCTCTGTAGTGCCGGGAACACAGGAATCGGAGAGACAATGAATGGGGACGAGTACTCTTTACAGATGAGAGCAGATTCAGTCTGAGTAGCGATTCTCATCGCATACTCATCTGGAGAGAGCGGAGAAGCCGCAATCATCCCTCGAACATCGTTGAAAGGGACAGGTATGGAGGTGGCGGTGTTTCCGTTTGGTGAGGCATCATGCTTGGTAGTCGTACAGACCTTCACATCTTCGACGCAGGTTCAGTCAACGGGACCCGTTATTGTAACGAGATTCTTCTTCTATATGTGCGTCTTTTTAGAGGCGCTATGGGTCCACAGTTTCTTTTCATGGACGACAATGCACCATGTCATCGCACAGTAGCTGCCGAACAGCTCTTAGAGAGTGAGAATATTGAACGTATGGCTTGGCCGGCACAATCTCCAGATCTCAATCCCATCGAGCATGTATGGGATTTTCTAGGCAGACGCTTGGCAGCTCGTACCTTACCACCAGTAACGATTCCAGAGGTTCGATTGGTGCTGCAAGACGAATGGGCAGTAATGCCTCAACAACTCATTGACACCCTCATTCTCAGCATGGGCAGACACTGTGAACCTGCCTAGAAGTCAGGGGAGATCATATCCCCTATTAAAGACCGGATGTTTCTTGCTGGACACCCATCACAGGGATGTTTCGGCCTTCTGTCGCATTGCGCTCCATGCTACTTTTTCAGTAAAGCTTCTTTTTATCCCTCTGATTTCTCTTTTAGTAAGTGTTGCTTACATTACTCATGGCCTTACGTATTGGGGATCTTACGGTATTAAATGTGTGGATTTGGAAAGCTTTTGTACAAAGTTATATTGAGAAAAACCGTCTCGTTCTTAATTTTTGCACACCAGTGTATGTTTGCATATAATAGTGCATTAAGTACTAAATGTTTTTATTATTTCCTAGTCATAAACTATGTGTGCAGCATTTAGATGTTAAGAATCCATTATTTTAAATAACTTAGAGTTATAAAATTTACAGTATGTACCAAAAATGCTCTATTTAAAGTTATATGCAATATAAAAAAATTCAAACTGTAATGCAAATCATTACATCTAGAGATATTTATAAGAAAAATAACTACACATTTCTCAAATTTTATTTGCTGACTGATTGATTTCGATATCATTATAAATTTGCGTGGAATTGATTTTTGAGGCTGAGTTCAGTAAAAGAAGTACTTTATTTTTTTTTATAAAGAATAGTTATTATAAAGAATTGTTTGGATATATATTTTTAATTTCCATTAAGATTTTGAACACGGAAAGAAAAACAACCCTTCCCTCCAAAAAAAATTATTTATGAATTTAACAGAACTGTAGAATTAATTTGTAAATATGCAATGGAAAATCATTCAATAATAAAAGATTGTGTAACTTTTAGATTAGGGTATTCCTCAGTAAGAATAAACCAAATACTATTAAATATACATTCTCCCCCCCCCCTGATAGTAGCTAAATTTTTCATGCAGTTAGTTAGAAATAACAAAGGGAAATGTAAAAAATCCTACAGGGTTTTAAATATAATTAAATTTTATGAAACTTAAAATTTAAAAGCATATTATACTCTCATGTCCATAAATTAAGGATAATTCGTAGTCACGCGGAAATCGCACTCTAAAATAAATATATCACCTGTAAAATCACTATACACATCTTCAAGAATGATATGCAAATTTCAGGAAGTAACCAGATGACACCGATGGTACGTCACAATGACAAGAGTGTAAGAGAGTGATATATGAGGAATACAGGCAAAGAAGTAAAATTGTTCGCAGGCGCTTTATAAGCATTTCAGTGCAATAACCGAATAGTTATGACACAAAGAACGCATTTGGATAATTTTTTACGTGGTAGAATTATCGGCCGTCTGGAATGCGGGCGTACCCAACTGGAAGTATCAGACGAACTTGGAATTGCCCAGAGTGTCATCTCCAGGCTTTGGCAATGATTCCAAGATGATGATAATGTGGGTAGACGTTACAGCACAGGTCGCCCCAGAGTTACAAGCACTATATTTACACACGTTTCAAGTAATGTTGTAATAAACACTAAGAAAAAATCTGATTAGAGAAAACTTGATTAAGCAAAAATTCTATTCAGTTGTGATTTGCAAAAACAGTTGAAACAAACATCATAACAGTTATCTGAAATATGTACGTAAAACATTTTTTTATTCAGACTAGAAGGCAGCAATTTTATTTGCACTATGATTTCACATACTTTTACCATCGCAGATGCCTTCTGTCTATGGAATATAGAGTGTTGGATAAGGGCCTTCAGCTTTTTTTTTTTTTTTTTCTCATTGATTGCATTTTCATCTCTTTTCTTAATATCGCAGTTCTTTGATGGGACTGAGATTGGGCTGATTTGCAATTCAGTCAGGAATCTGGATTTCATTTTGGTGAAGTCAAGTAATGGAAAAGTGCACAGTATATAGCCTGGCTGAAAGAGCATATTTCTCTGTAAATGAACTCAATTGTAGGTAACAAATGCTGCTATCGAACTCCTTGTTGATGCTGAGTGCCGCCTGAGATAACCACTGACCTAACTTTGTTGTAAAAGTCTTACAGTGTTAGTAGTCATCCTGGCAGAAGGGAAAATTTCCTCCGTGTAAGAATATACTTATAACTCCTGCTCACTTCCAAATGATAGTAATTTTTCTGAAATTTAATTCCTGAGCAGTATGTCATGTAATATATCCATTTTAACTATTTTGGAGATCGTCTCATATGTCTGCAGACCTCTTCAATTTTTTATAAGGATTCATCCTAATTTTATGCTACTCCCTTTGCCTGCAAATATCAATTAATATGTAAGTGACAAAGAAACAAAAATCTGCATATACATACGAACAGAACCTGCTGAATACTAGCAGAAAATACATACAGAAATGTCCTAACTGCCTAGAATTTTAGAACAAGTACTGCTTCTAAACATACTGTTTGTAAGATATCTTATAATATTAAAGTTGATGAAATAAATGATAGCTCAAGCAAAATAAGCAAATTTTCTTTTAAGCATAAGCGAATTTTCCTTTTGTTACTGTTTATAGCAGCCTCATGTGGGATATGCATAAAATATATACCATTATATAAAGTATTATGTTTATGACTAATATGAATGAAAATCCCATTTTACTTATGCAAAGGACAAACATGAAGAATTTAAACTAGGACAAAAAGTAAAATAAAAAACAATAAAAGATGCATAAGTAAAGAGAATTCCCCTCCCCTAAATTCTTTTAATTACTTTATTGTTTTGTATTGATTACTCTAATATGAAATAATATCAGAACATTTTATACATCAGTTTTTTCTCACACACAGGCTACTGAAAGGTTGTAATTGCAGTCAGTTCACTTGTTGACAGTTTATTATCACTTGTACACACACACAAAAGTATCTGTTTTATTTTTTCAATAATTTTTCAGTCTTTTATTAATAAACTATGTTAAAAAAGAAAGCAAATAATAATGTATAATTTAGTCACAACAGTGAGTGTTGTTGTCATTAGGAGATCACACTTTGTTTAGAATTTGTCATTAGGAGATCACACTTTGTTCTAAGGATGTTCAACTTTTGTTAGTAATTCCAATTAAAACTTACAATTTTTGCTCTACTATTAGTTTTCGTTTTAGCTCTAGAAACACCTTTTCACATATTACCTTTGATTATTTAGTCTTCCAATTTATATTTTTTATTATATAGGTGGTCATTTGGTGTGTACATGTGGGAAGTTTTCTCATTAGGAAAAGAACCATATAGAGATAGAACAAATACTGAAATTTTGCCATATCTTAAAGGAGGTAACAGGCTGGGAAAACCAGGAAGGTGCTCTCCAGAATGGTATTAAAAATTTGTTTTTTTGCTTGTAAATTTGTGAAAATCTGCATATTGCTTGGTGCTTCTCTAAATTCGAAAAATTGTGCCATCCCTAAATTCTGCAACTGCAAACAGCGTTATTAAATCTGATCTTTCAGCCTGGGAGCACCATTTACAAAATCTACTTTTTGCATATGGAAAGAAATTTCTGTTAAACTTCTCATTATCAACACACTCAGTACTTCACATCAGAGTTAGCTGAGGTGTGTAATCATCACTAAGTGTAATGTCAACATAAAAGGTTACTGTGCTTTTTGGTACAAATATTAAAAATAAAATGAATTTAACAATTAATAAAATTTAATAAAATTAAATAAAATATATTGCAAATATTAAAATTTAAAAAAAAATGTCTAGCTGTTGCTACACGAGTCATTTTTCAATCTGCTGTATGTTGATAGTCATGTTGTGATGAAAATAAAAAAAAATAATTATTCATCATGCTGGTGATTCTAATGCTAACAACTCATGGGCACTGAATATCTTAGAATGTCCATGCGGGGAAACATTCATCATATGCTGTACTGGAGGGTATGATTACATTACAGAATTGCATATCAGTGAATTACACCATCAGTTTTATTGAATTGTTCTTGAATTATTTGTAGAAATTCAGAATTATTTGTAGCAGAACTATAATTGGTTTGATGAGGGTAACTTTCTCAACAAAACCTTTTGAATTAAGGAAAGGTGTGTTTCTTTAACAAATTAACTGGAGCAAATAAACTATATTCATTATGGAGCATCGAGAATGCTCATTGTAATGAATTAACATGACCCATGGGTCATGTTAATTCCAATAGAAGCATTCATGAGATGAAATCAATCACATAGTAATGAGTAATCACACATGAGTAATTAAGTCCACTGTTTCAGTATTCTCATTAGCCTTGATTGTTAAATCTGATTTATAAATTTAATGGTCCTTTCTTAATTCTAAGGACAGGTTAGATGTAACTCTTTTTTCAGTCTTCACTAATAAAATAGCCAATGTGTTTCCATCTTAAATAATAATTTTGTATGAATTTTTAATGTAATTTTGTGGTGACACCAAGTATTTAGAGTTCATGACACATTTCTAATTTATTGAATGTTACTCCTTCAAATTAGGTAATTTAAACAACTCGGGAAAAAAAAAAAAGAAAAAGGGCTATTACTAGAGACTGTCAGAATATATATTTTTTGATATTTTAATAACTTTCAGAAATTATTTCAAAGTAGAATTTTAAACTTCCTTTACACTTGTATATATTCAGCCCAACAATTACAATATACTGCCTTGTCTCATAATTATGGACAGTAAATAATAATTATGGACACTTGACTATTTGATGTTAATAGTTAGAATTAGCATTAATTTCACAATTGATCATATTTTATGAAAATATTCTTAGTATCTGTTGACTAAATTATAAAGTTTTTTTAAGTCATTATCTTGAATATTTCCCTCTATACTTCAAATTGTACTTATTAATTCTGGTATCATACCTACACAAGTTAGACAGCCTGATCTGCTGCTAAATTTATTTCCACAAATCTGATAAATCTCAGCTCTTTCATATGCTTCTTAATATTGCTCTTATTACTACATTTCACATTCTGAATTATACAATTTCATTTTGCTGCTCCTGCTCTGTGCCTTTAGTACTTTTCCTTCTACGCTGCTTAAAAAAAAAAAAAAAAAAAAAAAAAAGACCCGTAGTTTCCATTCTACTCAGCCAATTGACGAAATTCAAATAGCATTTGTCATGTCTCGAAAGCGCGACTTAGGATATATATTAGATTTATATATAGCATTGTTCTAACTTAGGTATTTTGACACAAAATGGGACCTTTTCTGAAATTCATTTTTCCATTTCTGAAATGACTTTTTTCCGATTTTGTGTCAAAATATCTATGTTAGAATAATGCTATATATAAATCTAATACAGTCAAAAGTCTTTAATCCAGACGTCCATAATCCGGACCTCAAAGCTACAAACTTTCTGTGCATGCGTAAACGCATGCACATAATACGTTTCCGAATGCACATACTATGTTTATGCATGCGCGTTTAATGTATAACAGACGGCATAAGCTAAGCTAAAATTATCTAATTATCTATTTCAGTTAATGTTGCGGATTGCATTGTTCCTTAATCTTTGAATTGGATCCGGCTTATTATTTTTTGCAGACTGTTAGAGCAATTTTATAAAAGTAAGCTTGAACTTTCGATTATGTCAGCAGAACTTTGTAACTGAACAAGAAATTATGTCTGTTTATAGAATTAAAGAGAAAGTATTAGCACATAAAACAAAGCAACTTAAACAACTTACATTGAAAGAAATATTTAATAAAGTAAACAAATAAATATTAAGCTTTTTTTTGGTAAATTTTGGTACCCTTTACGTCATAATTGCTCTTTATTTCATAAATTATGGTTTCATATTTTTAATTTTATAATTTCTGCATGCCATCTTACCAGATTTAAGCTGATGATCTATAATCCGGAAAAACCGATAATCCGGAATCGCCGAAGTCCCGACGAGTCCGGATTAAAGACTTTTGACTGTACATATCCTAAGTTGCGCTTTCGAGACATGAAAAAGTCAAGTTGAGTTTCATCAGTCAGCCCAGTAGAGTCAGCTGATGACTCATCAATTCCGTATACAGGCATGTTGGTTAGTGTTTTAGATTCTAAAAGAACCACTAGCACAACACAAACCCAAATGGGAAGAATTAATACTTCGTCCTTCATCAGAGAACAAAAAATTAAAAGAAATTTTGACATATTGCCAAAAAACTTATTCTAATATGACTATTGCAAATTAATTTCCAAGAATTAAATATCATTGCTTTCTAGCATCACTTATTAGACTTTTTAACTTTTAACATTCCTGAACTGTTTACACTACTCTGGCGAAGAATTTCTTCAACATTGTCATTTATAGATTTTCGGATTTATGAACATTTTAATACCTTAGTGTTTAAAATGACAGTCTCTAGGTTTTAAATTACAAATTTCTGGAGCTCACTTGTTAACAACTTTGGTTTAATAAGTGGTAATAGTGACTATCTTATGCTTCAACTTATTGATGTATGAACTCATAATCAAGCGGTGATTCTAATAGGTTCCTTATATAGGAGCAAGTACTCTTTATTTAACTTACTTAACTTTTGTATTAAATAAATATTGCATTGTATGGAATGCATAGGATTTTCAAAATTATATTGTCAAAGCAATGTTACTAGGCCATTTCCTTAAATTAATATTTGTTAAGATATCTTGAATTCTATTAATATTTTTTAATTGCCCATATTTTGTTTATATATTGTGTTTATTTATGTTTTTATTTGATATATTATTGTTCCATGTTATCTAGTATGTATTGAATAGCATGATCTTATTGTGTAGTGTTTTATTAATTGTACCATGTAAATATTGTACTGTACTTTGCTGGCATTGTTGCCCATGTAAACATTTTCTTTTGTTTAAAATAAATGCTGCATGGTCTGCCATCCCTCCCTGGTGTGGTGGAGCTTCTGGAGACAAGGGTATATCCTATCTTATGTGAGGTGAACTTCGAGTTCACCAGGCAATGGTGTCCTTGTTCTCTGGTGTAAAAGTGTTTTAGATTCAAAACCAAAACACTTTTTCTTGTGTCTATAAAAACAGATTTTTTGAATTTGAATAATTTCTTTAACAAGATGGAAGGGTAAATAACCCTTTATTATTCAAATAAGATTTAATAGAACTCCGTCTTGTAGTGAACAATAAAAGCCGACACTTGGACTTGAACTTAAGAGACTAAGAATTAAACTAAAACTAATCCAAATTAAAGAGATATAGCCGAAGCTATCAAGATTCTAACCGAGTTGGCCCCTTAACGTTAATTGACTGTAAAGCTATCAAGGGCCTAAAGTACTGCCGAGCATAATAATAGCTTACAAGAGAGCGGCCTAAAAAGGCAGACGCGTGCAGACAGGATAGCTGGTAACTCTCTCGCTAAGACCGAAGAACTTTCGTGGTTAAGTACCGCTCTTCCTCATTATGTATTCAGACATGATTCTAAAACTATGTTCTAGCCGAAAGTAGTAAGTTGAAGTTAAGAATCGACAGGAAAGAAACTTTAATTTAAAGTTTAACTGTTAATAAAATTAACATAATCCTTAGAACTCATATGAGAGAAAAGGAGGGTGAATACAACAAAGTGTGTGTAATTTGTGTACATGATATATAGGCTATAAATTGTTTTTATGAAAGCAGTAGTATTTTTTAATGGCATTGAGCCTTTCATATTCTTTGTTTGTCATTAGCCATTATTTTACTGTCTTTGTTATTCTGCGGTACTGATATTTCAATTAAATTTAAACTGCATTTGTTGAATGACATTTATATATGCAAATACTGCTGATTGTTTTTCAGGTATGTTATTATGCGAGATTGTTGGCGTTCTGTTCCAGAGTCAAGACCTCAGTTCAGAAATCTTGTGCCAAGAATTAGAGCTATTATTGATAAATATTCTAATTATGAATGCTCTAGCTAAGAGAAATTTAATTTTAATGAAACAAGTTTATGTATTTTAATGTAAAATGTGGTAAATAAAAATATAATAAATATTGTTATAGAAAAGAAAAGCTGAGAAAGGTTGCTTTGTTTTTAAAGAACAAAATGCCCATCATCAGTTGTGGATAAAATCACTAAATACCTATGACATAAGTTGAAGTTATTCAAAATAAATTTGATAACTTGAAATAAATCTTTCTAAATGTTACAGTGCACCAGCAGAAAATCAACTATTTGAGGGTTTCTTTTCTTTTGAAACAAAAAGAATTGTGCAAAAGGGATAACAAGGTTACTGATGTTATTTCTAACACAGAATGTTTTAAATAGTATCAGTAATCTTGCAGTTCCATTTCTGTTTCTATCAGTTTTAAAATTGCTCAGATTCTCTAGAACAGGGGCCGGCAACTCGTTTCTTTTTTTTTTTTACCAAGAGGGCATATTTCAGAAATGTGGGAACATTGGGGTGTCAACAGTAATAATAAAAATAAATATAGAGCAATAAAAAATTTAAAAAAAAATTATAATTATATCAAAACAGAGTTAATTTGTGTGGATTGTAAAAGTTGTAATATTCTAAAAATTTGTTTTGTTACTGCAAAAACATTTATATTGTATCGTTCATAAATGTTACTAGCTAAGCAAGAAAATAGCAAGTTGTTGTGCAACTCAAGCAAGTTGTCGACACACAACAATCAGCTGAACTGAAATGATTTTCTTAGTATCAATCACTGGAAAAGCAATGCTGCCCGTATATTTTCGTTATCTCTTAATTTCAAGAGAAGAATGCATACTCTGCTTACTCAAAATACAAAGTAAACAAATGACAAGTTTATGTACAAAAGAGATTACGGATGTAAAGCTGTGGACAGTATATGAGGATAACGGAGATAGTATGTGTATGGAATCGGATGTTTCTAGCAATCAATGTCGTTCATCTAGTCATTGTACTGTTATCTAAATATCGCCAAGATTCAGTTTTTCTCAGAAGTTTAATTATGCAATTCATGCAACCATTAAAATGACGAAAATAAAGTAAAAATGTTTTGTATAATTATTCATTATAATTATAAGTGCTTATTGTCCGTATTTTTAAAATTTAGAATTTAGGTGCTTAAAACTGTGTGCACTTAAAAATTGCTTCACAGGCACCTTAATACCTGTAGGTATCACGTTGTTGACCCCTGCTTTGGAAGTTTTCAGGTCATTCTTTCACCTATGAATAAAATTCGTTGTTCAACCCTTAAGATTCCATCTCTGACTTCAATTCTTGGTAAATTTATAGCATATTTTGTCAATGTGGTTTATGGCAATACTGGCCAAATTAAAAAGAGCATCAAGAAGTCAATTCTTATGCCCAAAAAGAGGGAAAAAAAAATCTCCAATAGCTACATAGTTGGAAATATAATCAGTTTTGACTGCGAAAATTATATATAAGGCTTCTTAAGTTGGTGAATTGGATTTGCGTGAAGCGCTTCACATTAATTAAATTTTCTCTTCTTTAGTTAATGATATTCCAATCCAATTCTTCTTAAAACTTTTAAGATTCTTATATCTTATTTTATATGTGTCGCTACTGTTTTCCTTAATATATGGAGCTACTACTACTTTGATTTGTCTATTACTTCTGATATAAATATGATTGTTATTTTTCTCCTTTTTGCACAGCTTTTTTTTTTCCCCTTCTGAAGAAGACGGACTTTTATCTGATCGCTCTCGAAGTTGATAGAGATTTGGTCAAAATCTAGGCCAAAATAAGAATCTGTTTTGCCTAATTTTATGTTTTATAATATCCCAAATTGAAATCCGAGACATCCGAGCCTTTAAATAAATGTAAAGTTTTTGTGAATATTTTAACATATCATAAAACAGACTATGTCTACAGTCCCAAATTGTACATCCTAAATTGAAATTTGAGACAGCAAATAAGTCTTTAAATAATGTGAATTTTTCGAGAATATGTTAATGTACCATAAAACAGACTAACATTAACTATGCTATTGTCTTCATTTTCTATCTGAATAAATTGTGGATTTCCTACTCAATAACAGAAAATGTGTAGTCTTAAGTGCTGTGAAAAACAATTACAAATAACTTTGCATCTAATATTGTTAATCTGCCTTACCACTATTATTGCTGTCTTTAGTGAAGATTACTAATACACAGCATACTTAAAGCTTTTTCACCTAGTTGGAAAAATCTTATTTTAAATTCCTTTAAATCTAAAACTGGTCTGAAATTAGAAAATATCAATCATATCTGGGAATTTGTAAATCTCAAAGGAAGAAAAGTTTTATTTTAAATACAAAGTTTGCATTAACTTACTTAAGATGGGGTATTTGTTCTTAATATGGACCTTGAATATTGACCTACATATATTTCCAACTGGAAATAAGGTAGATTTTATAAAAACAGCTCAAGTAAGGGAGTAAACACATTTCATTCAAAGTGCAATTTTTTATGTGTGGCCCACCTAGAGCAGAAAGTTCAGCCAATATATTGTTCACTACACTTTAATAAGATCAAAAGTCTCCATAGATTTGCTACTAAACATTCGCTGAAATATAATAGTTATTTCATGGAGCCAGATGTGAAAGTAATAAATGCTATTTTATCTTAACATGGAATCTGTCTGCAGAAGCCATATAAAAAGTTCAAGGTTTTGCATTTATGGAATTCTCTGATCTACAGCCTTGAAATTGTTTCTCTAAATTTCTTTATCTTATTTTCCTTAAGTATTAATTTTAAACATTCGATCTAGTAAGAATGACTCGTCTCGAATCAATATTTAAGCTAGTAAAAGTGTGCAGATGCTTTTGTCAAATACCATGTGGTTTTACCATAATTATCATTATGTAATTTAGAAGTTTTTCATTCTTTGTGACGTGGTGAGAGTTAGTTACCATCAAAGTAAACGGCAGGTCGGCTTTAGGTCGCCTGGTGAGTTCTATATTCTTCTGCCGACCCTGGAAACAGTAATATATTGTTTACTTTCAGCTCACTCTCTGCATGTGAAAAACACACTTTATTATAATTTTTAACTATAAAATTTTATTTATGAAAGATTCTATTTAGAATTTATAGTTGGGCAGGCTGAAGCTTCTTTTATTGTCATCGCTGTTAAGACATCACTGTAAAAGTACACTGGTGAAGTAAATTAAGAGAATTTTCATATTTGATCTACGATCTCCAGAACTACTGGAGAGATTTTGATAAAATTTAGTGTGAACATAGGTTGATATAATACAAACAAAATAAACATTCAACAGTTATAATAATAGACACACATGTTCGTGTGTAACACTCGCGGGAGTCTAAAGGTCTGAAACAGCGGTTGCAGAAGACACAAAAGAAATGGGTTAATAGGGGGTATGGTCCCCTCTTGCAGCCGCCAGGCCTCGCAGGACTAGTGATCGAAATGTTCTCTGTGCTGTGGCAAACTGGTCCCACATGTTCAGTTTTGAGTTCCTGAGCTGTTTTCAGTTTCCTGATGGTTCTTCCGGGGGTTGCGGTTGCAATTGCAATTTCCCCAGAGCCTTCCAGACATGCTCTATAGGGTTGAGGTCTGGTGACCTGGCTGGCCAATCCACCTAACGAATATCCTCACTCTCAAGAAATTTGTCGACCAGAAGAGCTCCATGTGGCCTCGCGTTATCGTTCTATAAGATGAACTCTCAGCCAACTGCACCCTGGAAATGCGAAAATAGGGCTTCAAGACATCATCCATATACCTCACACCAGTCACAGAGCCTCTGTCAAAGACGTGGAGAGGTGTGCAGCCATCCAACATGATTGCATGACCATTACACCGCCATAATTGTGATTTCGAGGACATTGGAGGGTCTCTGGCTCTCTCCGTATGGAAGTACGGCAAGAATCCATCATCCCTCGCCTTTGGTTTATAGGCCTAAAACTGGCTCCCTCCGGGAAAAGCTACGGTTCGCCAGTTGCTCAACTCCCATTACTATACTGCCTCTGCTGCTAATTGGACTCTCCGTCCGTAGTACGTGAGCAGGACGCAAAGAGCCGGTCTTCTGGCAACGCATCCCTCTCTCCTCAGCATCTTTTGGAAATCGTCACCTTCGTTTACTTCAGGTGTGGTTCCTAAGCTGCGTAAACGTGTTTCATCTGTGGTCTATTATAGTATCGTTTGGACATTGAAGAAATATGTGAAATCGCTGTGAAAAACTTTTCTTTTCTGTTTGTTTTCTTTAATTTCATTTAGATATATCGTTCTGGATTTATTAGTATTTGATGGAACATGTTGGCAACGATTAGATAATACTTCAAATGATACTTTATTTGTGCATTCTGAGTTATTAATGAACGAAATATAATCGCTGTTAATGTGAATCCTAGCGCCAGATATTCGCTATGGTAAACTAAAATACAGTGAATATTTAAAGAGTGCAATAATTTTATGAATCTGTTGTTTTTTCTATCGACGAAATCAATCCAATAAAGTTTAAATGAAATATAAGAAATATATATCTTCTAGATATATAATATATATATGAAATAATTTCATAAGAATATAATCTATAATTTAATATTTTTTATTGTGCAAGGAATATCATGTGGTGTGGACATCATTTTTTTGTTTTTTTTGATAATATAGGGATCCACATCATTAGCTTTGTCACCTGGTTTGTACGAAGCTCTTTGTAGTTGAAGATCATGATATGTTTTTTTCTCTTTTTTTTCTGTTCGATGCGTTCGCTCTTTTATTTCTGCTGTTAAATGGGCAAATCGTTTGAGATATGGGGTTAATCTCAGCCACGAATTTATCTTTCTCGATCGTTCGCTCTTAGATCGTAGGTAATGTCATATGTTGTTTTCATTCTTTCTTAAATTGAAAAACGCTCCTGTGCGATTAGTGATTTCACAACTGGAAGTGTTCATTGAAAACAAATGAGAGGCAGTTTTTCTTCGTAGGAATCGGGTTCATTTGGAACCAGTATAACGAGTCAGAGTTTCAGTTCACTATTTTTACGTTCAGTTAGATTTGCTTGAGGATTATGCACAGGAATAAGGTTTTGTTTAATTTTGAGAAAACTGCAAGTTTGTTGCAGAATGGCATGCACGAATTGTGACCATTATCACTGATTAAGGAAATTCATATCGTAGATACACTTATTCGATTAACGTTTTGTCGGAGTTTACAGGTCTTGTTTCTTTAAGGGAAAAAAAGTTCTACCCATTTTGTAGTGGTATCTTTATCTTATCAGTATTTATACTGATAAATCCATTTCTTACCAGGTGAAGTCTCTGGAAGAGATCCAAAAAAATAATAAACAAGGTTTCAAACCTCTGGGTATATACTGTAGTTCGAAGAAGACCGGTTGGCTTCTGAATCGTTTTACAGTTCGCAACCTCTTCAGGTATATTATTGAGTTCGAAGAAACCGTTGTTTGGTATCTGGTATCTTTATTTATTTCATATTGGAAATAGTTGTAATGAAATCCATTTCTTCACCAGGTGTACTCTATTTCTCTTTTGAAAAAGGAACTAGGAGTGAGCAATTTCTTTTGAAAATTTTCAGCCCCATACCAGTAAGAACGATTGAAACATGTTGTACTTGATGTAAGAAATTTCTCTGCTTTGGTCTCATGTCTTTTGGTTCATTTTCATATTCTGCTAACGAGTTTTTCAACAGTTTTTTTTTTTCGATTACAGAATTTTCTTGCCCTTCTAACAGTTTATCAATTTTCCTCTATCTCTTTCCAATTTCTTCCAAAGGTAATCTATACTGGAAAGTTCTGCTTTGTTAGTCTTTCATCTGTGTATTTTTAAATTTCCATTCAGTCTTTTATCCCATTTCTATCAGGTCTAGAACGTAACTCTTTGAGTAAACTTCCTACTAATTCGGACTAAACATCTCAGCTTCAGATCCAGATACAGTTTTACATTTCGGTACGCATTTTTAATTGTCATTCTCTTTTTACAGTCTGATGACTTTTTTAATGTACTTAGTCATGCCATTTCAAACACTTTTCATTAGCTTTACCAGGATCTTTGTAACAACTCTTATGCTCCTTAACAATTTTGAAAGTGCATTGTAGTTAATGTTGGACTTCCTAACTGGAAAAATGCTGATATGCAAATAAGTCACAAGGATTCATTTACATTCGAGGGTCTAGGCAAATGCAAACACATTGCTTTACCAGTGTATACTAAAATTTTAAAATGTAAGATGAGTCTAAATGTGTATATTTTTTTAAGCGAATGGCCGACTGGATGCTGATCAATGTTCATTTATATATTTGGGTCTTGGTGGTCATGTTATTTATGATTATTCTTCGTTTCGCCCTGATATTTCTCTGGAGCCCAGACTACTGCAAGCGCCTAATGTTCAGTAGTGAAGTAATTTCGATCTGCTGGGATGAACAGGCTGACTGGCGTACTTGGTAACGTGTTCCTTTTGAGCCTTCTCCTTTCCTAAACCATAATTGCTAGCACCTGTACAGATACGAAACATCTGGTTGTTTTAACACCAGGGGTATTATTAATCTTTTCTTCAATTCTTTGAAAGCTTCTTGGGGTTCAGGACCACAAATTCATTATACACGTTTTGGTAAGATCACTAAGTGGCCTTACAATGTTTGCAAATACCTCCTAAACCATGAGCAAATTCGCAAGAAGGACTGAACGTCCTTCAGATTAGTTGGCATTCATTAGGGATTCTGTGAATAGAGGTTGCCTTGCGATTATCCCTCCCCCAATGACCTAAATATTTAACTCGGTCACACGCGAAATTTTGTATTTTTCTGTTAGCAGTGATCATTTCTGCTATTTAAAACGAGATGCAGAAGAGTATGTTATGGGATTCAAAATTTTTTTTGTTTTCGTGTATTATTTTATATTATAAACAAAACGATTGCAGTATGCGTCCTCCAGCAATGGACACGTTCTCTACTGGAAAAAATGAGAAACTGAATTTGGCAAATTCTTGTTCAGAATGTAATATGTAATATTTTTCATTTTTGATTTTACTTTTTGTTCCTTATTCTTTAATTTAATCAATTTACATTTATTTTATTTCCATGAAACGGTCGCGGAGCCCTTGGGAAATGCAGTTGGAGCAGATTGGGTTCACAAAGCACATTTTTGGAGCCGATGGAATACATACTTAATATTTCAAAATACGCATTACGTATATTAATACCTTCAAAGGGGGTAATTTCACTTCTCATATTTCAGCAGAAGTAGCGAGTCTTTTTCAGAGTTAATAATGTCTACTTCTTTAGCTATCTAGATGGTTTGATTCATCATCTCCGTCCACCCTTCGAAAATGTATGAGATATATTCAAAAGAAAGGGAATGCGTCTTAAAAGTCCTCTATAACATCTTTACGAATTTTGAATAAGAGTTTGGGCAGTTTGGATGACTATTCCACAAAATTAAACTAAAATTTTATTTCAATACCAGAACTTGCAAAACAAGTGGTACAAGGCAGAGGTGGACGTATAGAATATTAACTGTGTCGAAATATGTAATGCGTATTTTTACATATGTGTATTTGTTTGTTGTTATGCAAATTGTATTTCTGTCGTTGAACTGAGGAGAGGCGCAGATGCAAATTTGTTAGGATTTTTAAGCGTGTGTTTGGAACTTCATGCTTGCTGGGAATTAACTGGAATTCCAAAGAGAGTAGGTTTTTTAGATGTGCTTCTGAAGCTAGAGGTTTGACGTGTCCTGTCGCCGTTCCTCAGCCAGCGTGATGTTTGAAAAACCAATAAAGAAATTCGGTCAAGATTATGACTCTGAAGTTATTGAAGTTCTATTAAGGTAATCGCAAGTCACCTTACAGTCAACTTTTCATGAACAACGGAATATACAGTATTAATGAATCATTTGTTATATATTACCTACTTTGCAAATTAAGCAAAATCAAAAGTTTTAGTTAATATTCCTTTTAAGTATTTTTTTATTAAACAGTGGCATATTATTTAAAAAATCTTTCTTATTTATATTCATTTCATGTCATTTGGGTTTAAAATTGACTTTTTTTTTCCTAGAAAAATTCAGTAAACTTTATGATGTCCCAGGAAATATACAAAGGGAGATTTATTTTAGAAATATATCGAAGAAATTTCCCAAGATATTGTATTGTTTTTACTTTTCAGGCAGAAAAGTTGTAAGATATCACATGGCAACAATATAGGAACGAAGTCGACAAATTTTATGTTCACATGATGTTTAAAACAGGTGAATGCCCTGACTCATCATCTACGTCTCCGTTTCCATATCACCTACTAAAACATTTCTTTCAGCTGACCAAGCGATTTTCGATGACCTGCAGATAAAAGTGTTCGTGATTTTTAGTTGTCTGGGAGATAAAATTTCAAGTGGTATGATGAAATATTTCGTATGCATGAATGAGGCTACACTGAAGATTTCGGCGAAGATATTATAATAGAAAAGATACCATGAAAATTTTCAACTACTAAATAAATATAAATATCTTTCCTCCAAAGTGTTTTAAAAGGCAATGGAAAATATAATTTAAAGTTCTCAAATTTTATGTGTTTTATTTCTTTTTATTCCTGATGTCTTACGAAAAAGAACAACACAAGAATGAAATTAATATGCTAGGTAAATTTCAGATTTGTTTGTTACACAACATTATTATTCGCATGACTCAGTCCCAGCCAGTCATTAGCATTGATATTGGCCGAATGTCTAAAACTGCAAAACACTGATAATTCGTCTGAATTTAGTTATTAAAAATCAGCTAGACAAGCAAACGCCATGAAAAATAAAAGCAAAGTTTATTTACATCTGGGAGGAAGTTCATTTTTTATGACCTGTACAATAAATGAGATAAACATTGATTAGTGTTCTAAGTAATGTGATAAAGTATTGCTGAAAATATTATTGTTCAGCATTTAAAAGATTTGACACTACATGAAATAAACTTAGTTACCGTTATTAGAGTTTAAATTTAAAAAAATGGGAAGTATTATCTGAAAACCCATCCCCTTTTTTAAATAAAAATGGCACATTTACAGTATTTAATTAATAAATTGGACATAAGAAGTGAAACAAAAACAATTATATTATTTAAAAAATCATTGAAATAAATTTGAAATTATAAAACAAATAAATAACTAATTTTAGATGGAAAATATTTTGGTACTTTGCAAAGAACACACTTTTTACACAATATTTTGTAAATAGGTATCCTCTAAAGTTAATCGATGGAGCCCATTAATCTTGCATGGACTATTTGATTGTTCACAAAAGTACTTGAGTCCGTTCAAGTTTATAAATTTAATTTTCCGAAGACTGGAGACGGAAAATTAAATTATGTCTCTTCACTGAATTTTCACCGTATTAAACTGGCAACGAAATATAACACAAAAGAGTTGCCCCAATTTGCTTCTTATTTTCCTTTCAACTCGGAGAACGAATTCGATGGTAATCACTTGGCCTGCTGGGCGAGCTTGTCAGTTAAATATGCGTTTATGCTTGTCTTTCAAATATAGTTTATAGCTGCATGACGGCAACATTTGTGGAATATGTGCCCTCTATGAGCGACGCATTGTTCAAATGTACGCATAAGTTTATCGGCAGTTGGATCAGGTTTCCCTCTGAGCAAAGCTGAGATTTTCTTATTATGAGCTCTGTTGTAATTCCGATTACGGATACGAGCAGCATAAAAACGAGAAATGCAATGATATCCTTTTTCACCAGCCATCTGTCCCAGCATGCAGCATTGTTCTTCTTTACTTCTGCGATGTCCTGAAAGGATTCATTTAGAAATCAGGGTTAACATACAGGGTAACATAATTTTAATGAAAAATAGAAACATCACTTGAGGGAGAGAAATTAAAGAAAAGCTTTAGAGCAAATGAAATACTTTTAAAGATCACAAATGCAGGTATTCTAAAATGTAACGGCGTGGTTTGTGTGTCTTCTAGCACCATGCATATAGTAGATATCTCGGGAGTCTTAAAAGTTTCTTATCAAGATTGTGAAAGGAGTCGATCGTCATATTACACAGGATAGAGCACCAACTTACTTTTCAAAGATTATGCAAAATATTAAACATTCATTTCCTAAGGTGTACTGGAACCCATTCTTAGGTTATCACCAAGCTCTGTTCTTAAGCTATTGGATTTCTACTGGAGTCATTTAAAACACGGCTAAAGTGAAACACCATCACTTTAAGATAAGAATCATTGAAGCAATCGAACCCATTAAACATTGAGTGATTAATGGCGCAGCACTGGTGATTCGCTCTACATTTATGCTTGGAAAGGACTGGCTTGCGTGAGGTATTTGTAATATTTCTCATGTGTAGCTTGAATACAAGCTAAATTCCTCTGAAGAGTCCCTCTTTGGGGCAACACTTTCCAAGGTAGAGAGCCATGTGTAATTTGTAGCAATTTAACAGTCCATTTCGTTAAAGTAGTTAGAGATTGTAACTTCAGACATTCTTGATGAGGTATGAATGGTAGCCGAATATCGTTGGGAGATGTGCTATGCTATTAATAGCGCGCTTAGAGACACTGTAATGATTTTTAGAATATTTGTTAACTAGAGGGAGAGCCAAAAATAATTGATTGTCTTCAACCGTAAATAGATAAAACGGCGCTGTTACAGTGGATCCTCATAATCAGTATCGTTGGGAGTTTAGTTAAGATAAACACTGGTTTTCGTAATACCTTAATTTTTAACATTATTGTGTTACGTTTCTTTTCCTCCTCAAGTCCTGCAGGCTGCCTCAACGTAGCGAGGGGGTGGCACTGGGTGGAATAGCCGAAGTACGTCGGGAGTATATACTCCTGGTAGGGCCACCCTAGGCGTGAATGCTATTCCGCAATACCTAGCTAAAGCCTACAGGCATCTGAGCCAAGTCAGTCCTCTACCATTGGTGCTCGGGTCTCACGACTTACAGAGGCTGCCCTCTTTTCTTCCACCCATGAGTCATGGAACTTTCTAATGTGATCCATACTGCATCGCCCGTCGCGCAGGTTGAAAAGGGGCACGTTCGAGGTTTAGGAAGAGGACCTCGACCGAAAAATAAACTACTGTCTCCTACATTACGAACTCTTAAAATTATCCAATGTAATGTTAATGGTATTTCAACATTGGCAGCGAAATTTAAACTTGACCAAATACTGAAGTTGGCTGAAGACCAGGGAGTTCAAATTATCGCTCTACAGGAAACTAAACTGAAAGAGAATTCTCAACTAAAAGTTAAGGGATACAACATCATCCGTTTAGATAGACACGCGAAAGGAGGCGGTGGCCTTGTTTTCCTTATCAGAGACATTAACTATATTTCCAAAAGTTATAATGTACTCACTGGTTCAGATTTAGAGTTGCAAGGCGTCACTGTTTTGTGGAGAGGTGGACCACTAAACATCTTTAATTTATATTACCCTCCTAACATTGGTAATCTGCCTGGAGTCCTTGATAATCTTTTATCTGGAAATACTCTACTTCTGGGTGATTTAAATGCTAAGCACCCAGCGTGGTGTTTGCTCTTCCCAGAACCAGAGAGGACTTAATCTTCTTCATTCTGTTGATGACTCAGGTTTCATGATCCTTAATGATGGTACTCCAACGCACTCTTCATATAGCTATAACACGTCTGAAGCCCTTGACCTGTCTATAGTAAGCCCCATTATCTTTCCAAATTGCACCTGGACAGTTATGAGGAATATTGGGAGTGACCATTCTCCAATATTAATTGAAATACAGAAGAAACAGTGTACTTTCCTTAATCGTAAAAAACATTGGAATTTTGTTAAGGCAGACTGGAAGGCATTTGGTGGTCTTGTTGACACCCTGGCTGAACCTAGCATTCACTCAAGTGACCTTGATACTAACTGGAATACTTTTCAGCATATGCTCTTTGGAGCAGCTAAAAGAACTATACCTAGAGGAAGGGTAAAGCTTTTTAATCCTTACTTTACTCATGATTCGCCGGTTTTGCAGCCTTTGCTCCAGAAGAGAGAGAACCTGCGACTCGAATTGAAAAAAAACAATAATACAGAGTAAAACAGGGACAGAGATGAAAAAGTCAATGCAGAAATAAAAAGAACTTATATGCTACTTAAGAGGAAAAAATGGATGGATATATGTGAGGGACTTGATGCTAGATCATCTGACACGAAATTGTGGAAATTGATCAAGAATATTAGCAGTGAACAACCTCAGATAAAGAGATGTAATGCTATCTTAGATACGGATGGCAACATCCCTACAGACGAAAAAGCTGCGGCTGATCTCCTCAGGGTACATTACCAGGAGATAAGTGAGATGACTTTTACAGAAGTTGATAAGAAAGTGAGAAAAAGGTCTAGAGATCTTGCACATGGATGTCGTAGTGCTGTCTCGGGCAATCCCCTTTTCTTTAAATCCTTTTCCATGCATGAATTGGAGATGGCACTTGAGTATTTTGACTTGACCAAAACTCCTGGACCTGATGGTATCCATGGCCAGATGATTGGGCATCTTGGCACTCATGCAAAAAAGAAATTTTTGCATATAGTAAATCAATCTTGGAGTCTTGGACGCCTTCCTAAAGAGTGGAAAAGAGCCACGATTATACCTGTTGAGAAACCTGGCCACACCGATGGATCTCCTGGGAGCTTTAGACCCATTGCCCTAACTAGCGTTGCATGAAAAGTCATGGAAAAAATGATCATGGGGCGGTTGCTCTTTCACCTGGACACCCACGACCTCCTACCAAAAGAACAATACGGTTTCAGAAGAGGTCATAGCACCACTGATCAATTGGTCTATCTCAGCCAGAAGATTAGAGATGCCCAACACAAGCGACCTACCAATCATACTGTGGCTGCTTTTCTAGACTTGTCAAAGGCATTTGGCCGTGTCTGGAAATATAAGCTAATAGTTAAACTCTATGAAGATTTTGGCATTAGGGGTAAAGCCTTGATCTGGATCGCAGATTTCTTAAGAAATAGACTGATAAAAGTAAAGCTTAATTTCACTATGTCAAACACCTTTAAATTGAGCCAAGGCGTCCCCCAGGGTTCTGTGTTGAGCCCAATTCTTTTCTGCCTATATTTGGCTGGAATTGAGAAGATTATATCAATGAGATGTGAGGTTGGTATATTTGCGGATGATGTTGCCCTCTGGAGCTCTGGCCCAGATGTGAGTTCAATTGACAACAATATAAATTTTATCCTTGAAGAAGTGTGGAAATTCTCGAAAGACCACAAATTGAGTTTTAATTCAACTAAATCTATTGTTAATTTTTTTACCACCAGTAAGAAGATTTATAATTATCATCCAAAGGTTTTTATCAATAATTTGCCTCTTACATATGACAAACATCCCAAATATTTGGGCTTCGTTCTCGATCCAGAGATCACTAGTAACAAACATGTGGATGCGCTGGTTTTTAAAGGCGGAAAAACGCCTAAACATTCTGAAGTATATCTCGGGACGTGATTGGGGAGCCGATGCTTGCACTTTGAGAACTACTTACTCAGCTAGCATACGACCTATTTTGGAATACGGTTTCCCCGTTTACTGTCGTGCCTCTTCCACCAACCTCCAGAAACTGGAAAGAGTCTAACTCAGTGCTTCTCGCATTATAACTGGCTTGCGCAACATTTGCCCGAATAAAATTGTGTTGTATGAAAGAGACCTTCAACCTCTTAGTCTAAGAAGAAGTGCAGGCCTCGTAAAATATTAAATTAAACTTCTCAGTTACAGCTCCCAGAATAGAACTTCCGAATTTCTGCAACACTTAACCAAAGACTTAAGAAAGAAGAGTAATAACCAAAGACTTAAGAAAAATAGTCCACTTTGTCAAATTGATTATGTTGGTATAATTGACCGTAATGTTGAGCAGCATTCCTTGAAACAATGTTTAGATCCGTATGAGGGACTCTCTGGAGTCGGGTTCCATGCGGAACTTTTGTCTCGAGTTTCTAAGAAAAATGATATTCCGGCCCTGTTACGACAATCTGCCTTGGAAACTATACATGCAATTCCAGCTGAAGCTAGCCTCATCTATACTGATGGGAGTAAATGCGAGGACTCTCGCTCCGGTAGTGGTGTTGTCATTAGATGCACAAATGGAAATATTGTTAAAATAAAGAAAAGAAATTCTGACTTCAGTTCGGTTTTTAAGAGTAAGCTTATAGCCATCGAAGAAGGACTAAATGCTGTTTTGTACTTTACAGATCTTAAGGCAGTTTGGATTTTGTCTGACAGTCGTAGCGCTATCAAATATCTTTCAAACTGGCAAAGAGTTGGTGATAGAGCCGGAGCCGCAATTCTTAGCAAACTTAGGCAGGTCTCGTCACTCTGTGAAGTGCATCTTCAGTGGATTCCTTCCCATGTTGATATTTGGGGGAATGAAATGGCAGACATTCTGGCGAAGGAGGCTTCTGAAGAACCATTGCCAATTATCAATTCACTGACATTTCTTGAACTGCATTCCATTAGAAGACATGCTGACAGGCAAATTTGGCTCGTTCCCCCGAGTCATCCCTGGTATCAAGCAGATTGTCCTGGAAGATCCCTTGCTATAGACTGCGAAAGATGTGTTCAGACAACACCTTCCCGATTCTTCAGTGGGCACCTGAGGGGACTTACTTTTGAGAGTGGTATCAAGATGCACCCAATTTGTTCTAAGCGTCACAATGCACCCGCATCACCGGCACACGTCCTTAAGTGCCTGGAGTTGTCTCTTGTGGACCTTTACAGGTCTCCTAAGCTTGTTTTCGATTTTTTAAAGGTGAATGGACTCGTGGACCTCGTCTAGTATATTCCTAGGCATGGAGATTAGTAACAACAACAACAACAACGTTTCTTTTGAGCTCATGTATTTCATATTTGCTTATGATGGTAGGCTTTCCACCAATGGAAGCTACAATTTTATAATAAGACAATTTGACACACAATAATGTAATACATTAATACAATAACTTATAATAAGACACACAAGGCTCAATTCTCTTGCGGTCAAATTTGGATACGATTTAATTTTTATTCTGTCTTTCGATACGAGTCATCTTAAACCTGTTCTGTTCACGTTTTTTTCCGAAACTTCTAAGTGGTTTTTGATGTCCACGATTTTGATGTACATGCGTTATATTGCTAATCATTTATATGTCTAATGGCCTTATCAGACCTATGGACGTGAAATGCAATAAGAAACATTTCCAAGAAATATGTTTCTCCCAGAAAGAATTTGAAAGCCATGTTTCTGCTCGTAATTTAGGAGAAAATATTACGTTCAGCGATCTGGTTCACGTAGGTTATCCAATTAAAGGAAGATTCTGCTTCTGTATTTCCTACTGAAAAGTATTTTCTAATACTTCTAGAAGAGAAAAAGAAAGAGAAAAGAGAGACCCCCCCCCCCCCCCCCCCTCCCCCCCCCCCCCCCCCCCCCCCCCCCCCCCCCCCCTCCCCCCCCCCCCCCCCCCCCCCCCCCCCCCCCCCCCCCCCCCCCCCCCCCCCCCCCCCCCCCCCCCCCCCCCCCCCCCCCCCCCCCCACCCCCCCCCCCCCCCCCCCCCCCCCCCCCCCCCCACCCCCCCACCCCCCCCCCCCCCCCCCCCCCCCCCCCCCCCCCCCCCCCCCCCCCCCTCCCCCCCCCCCCCCCCAGCGAAAAGTCGTAACAGCGATTTTATATTAAGAAAATATTTATTACTTATTCTACAATAAATTATCTTTCCTTTTTTTTAAACTTTCTTGTATGAAGTAAAGGAAGTATTGTAACCCCGAAAGATTTCGTGTATCACATTTTAACGAAAATATCATTTTGACCGCTTTCGAATCCATTTGAACGATGTTTTTGCGTGACATTTGTACTTACGGAAAGAATAAAAAACTATTTTCTCCAAAATGGGTTTAAAATGTTTTCAGAAGAGATTTGTTTCGTGAAGCCTGCCTCAAAAGGTTGAAATTTTGTATATGGGATTGCTATAACATGTAGTTGTGCACCTCCCTTTTTAGTTGCAATCGTCGACACAAAACATGTTTATATATATACCCACTCTGTTACCGAATCGGCGAGCTCAGTTTTTTTATTCTTACACTAGCGACCCGCTCCGGCTTCGCACGAGTATAAAATATATAGCCTATGTCACTCACTGAAAAAATGATTAATATCGATCCAGTAGTTTTGAGTATTCATTACTGCCGTGGCCCCGCACGCGTTAAATTTGGAGTAAACAATTCCACTTTTCCTATACCAATATTTCCTGCTATATTTGGACTATCTAAATTCATAATACATTTTTTACTTATTTACTTTTACATTTTTGCCTATTTATTTATTTTTATAACAATAATATATTAACAGAATGTCTCACAGGTCTGTCATTTCTTGTACGTCAACTTTTTCTTGTGCATAGCTACCAGTGATTGCCAACTGATACGTTGTCGCGCTGAAAAGCACGTTTTATTAAGTAATGTTATTTCCTCGCTAGAGAGCTCCGATAATAACTCGTCCTATCGCTGCTAAATTCAAAGTGCTATAGGAGAACCGCGGTCTCCGACGCGCTATTTATAGAAGCTCCCGCCGCCCGGCCGGCCTCCCCGTAAACGCCGCAAACGCTACGCCCACAATTTTAATTGTATACCTTTCAATGTGTACAATACTTAGTACATTATTTTGAAATCTCGTAGGTTCAGCCTGCGTTGCAATGCAAGTGGGAAAAATGTAATTATTTACGACATCACATTAGAAACCTAAAAATAACAGTATTTCTCACTATTAATGGATGAATCATAATAAACTTCGTTTCAATCCTCTATCTATTAAAAAAAAACCCATCAAAATCCTTGTGTAGTTTAAAGATTAAGCATACATAGGGATATGGGACAGAGGAAGAGACTTTGTTTTATAGTTGATGTTGGAAGCATTGTTTCCTTAAAAAGTGATTCTTCGTTTCTGATGTTTAGGTTTTTTAGGTTTTAATCCTTTAAGTTTAAAGTTAACGAACAGTTTAGTTTTAAGTGGTACTAGCCCAAAGAATTGTTTATATTTGAAATCTAGACGAATACTGATTTAAGTCAATTTATGTATCAACTTTAGTGTTTTGCAGAGCGGACCAAAAAGGAATTTCCAAATTTGTGCAGCGAAAAATCTGTTCTCGCCCGTGACCGAATGATGTTTTGCTAGAGAACGTAATTTTAACTGTAAAAATCGTTTTTGTAACGTAAAACTGAAGTAATATTCTATATGTATCAAAAATTTTTATGCCTTAAAAAAGTATTGATGATTTGACTTTTAAATAATTAATCCTTTTATATTATGTTTTGATTGATTTATTTAAATGAAGTTGCAGAAGAAATGACAATTAATAGGCCCGACAAGAAATCATGGTTATCTAATCACAATTTACGATCTATCAGCCATTTAGAAAAATGGACGATATAATTTCTTTATCAAGATGTTTAAATAACTTGTGTACTATGATTAGTAAGCAAATTTAAAAGAAAGTAAATTATATGGGAATTACTACTAATTCATGAATTACTTAAAGTATTAACATGAATAACAAAAAGACGTTTTTTAACGCAAGTAAAAGAAGAGAGAAAAAGACAAGGTAAAATTATATTAGGGCAAGTCTAAGGTATAGTACATTAAGAGCGTGATAGGAGTTGTAACATAACAGTTTTTGATCACAAATACATGATCTTCGAAATAATCCTCAGTATAGAAACTTTTAATGCAATTTTTGCAAAGTAAAATACTCATATACGGGAATGTGAACATATTTATTGCACATTGCAAAGAGGCACTGAGAGTTGCTTATAGTATGAGTTAATACAGATTTGCCGTTCTTTTTCATCTAGTTAATAGCTTCCTATTTCAACTTGTGCTTGTTATTCTTTTGTACTAACCAAGTTATTTTTCTGACACTGTGATTCTTCTTTCTGATAATTCTCTCTTTACAGCTCATAGTAATAGTTATGGTATTAACTATAAAGAATTCACTCTCTCTCATACACACACACAAAAGAAAAAAAGAATGTAGATTACCAAGAAGTAATGTTACTTTCATAAATGAATAAGTGTTTAGCTGTTTGAATAAACTATCACACACTCAAATTTTATTTCTAGCGTTCATATTTCCGCATCAATTTCTAAGATTTTATATATATATATAAAAAAAAAAAAAAAAAAAAAAAAAAAAAAAGGAGAAAGCGAAGGAAATAGTTTTATATTAACTATGGAATTCGCTGATGACAAAAACTAATTATTCAAAAAATTCGTTTATGAAATACACAGAAAATTCTTATTTACCTGTCCTTAAAGGCAATGGCTCAGAAATCCTGATCTCCACCTGTTCGACCAGAATTGACTGTTGTCTTTTTTCCAGGTGCAATAAATATTCTGAAATAAAAACAAGAAGTAATATAATTTTAAAAATCAGTTATGTCAAAGAATTCAAACATCACGCAATTTCTTCATTCCCGGGGAATTTTTTGCGTTTGAATTGCTTACCCTATGTAGTGATCAAGATACAGCTTGTATTCCAAAGTAAATGACAGAAAATAAAGTTCTTTACTGACATTTAGGAAAAAAATATTTTTTGATTGTACAGGTACTATGGGTTTGCTCTTCAGCTCACAGAATGTGATATTTTTACTCGTTATTTTATTTAACTTATTTCAAACGGGAAAATTGTTATCTTCTTCATTGCATATCAGTAAAGTTTAATCGCATTAACTCTTGCTTGAGATCTAAGATAGTAGATGTATCTTTCCAAAACTCTTGAAACAATATTCATTTTTAGAGAATCCAACATAAAGTTTCACATCATTAGCCAAATATTTGGTGGTGCAGCGCTGTGGCTTATCTCACTTATCCTGATTTAATCAGAATAAGTCCACGAATTGTATCGTGGCAACGAGCGCAGATTGCACCTTTCGTTGGTTCCCTATAAGGTGACGGTTCTACTTTGCCCAGCTTCGTTCCCGTTTTGATGAACAGCACCACGAGGGATGGGTCTGAGTGTCTCGTATCCCTCTTCCCCTACCACCAAATCACTCTAGAAGACTTTCGGCTCACCGTCTCTTTTGAGCGCCTCCATACTGCTCAGACATTATACGCTTACAAACATTTTAGCCTTCTTCGAGAATCCAAATCAGCCTGACGAACAATGCAGCGGAACGAAGCACTAAATATATTGATTTAAATATGATTAACTTCACTATAATTTCTCAAGGAATGCTTAAAGGGATCGCTATAGCGGTTTATCATGGTGTGGTGTAGTGGCGAAACCGCTACGCACACCCTGGGTTGTGACACAACATTGATATGAACCTCAAACTCAATTTTTAACAATAACATGAATTTTAACAAGATGAAAACCTTAACAGTTGCATATCTTGACAGTATAGGACTTGGATATATTTACTTCTGTAATTTCAGAATTTTGTTACAGGAAAAATGCTCTAACGCATTATACACGAGGAATGATCGTTCTTAGCAGGCCAACATGCCCATAGCTCCAAACAGGAAAGTTGTCCCCTCTTCTCAGGAAACCACCTTATATATCTCCTTGTGTTTACTTACGCTGAACTCACGGGGAGGGATGAATCTTTCACTCATACATAAAAAAATATCCCTCTCCTGACCTTGACGAAAAGACTTCTTTTACCTCTTTGTCCACTGGTGTGACATTCGAGGCTGCAAACGGAATCATCAACAAAGGCGCAGGATTTCACCACTGATATGAAAACTACTGCACTCTGAAAACTCATCCCAGACAAAAAAACCTTTATGCCACCTTATCACAATGGAATTCAAAGATTCTAGGGAATCCCAGCTGAAAAATTTGATTTTAAATTGCGTCAGGCAAATGTTCCTCCTTATAACATTAAAAACGTAGATTTAATCGCAGAGGTTAATGACAAAAAAGTATCACAGTGTAAGGTTTATCCTAAGTTCTTAACAGTTATCTTGGGTTTAAGCTACTTTTCTATCCTTCTTAATTTCAGCTTACAACTTCCTACCAGAATCTGTTTTTAGAATCGCTATTAATACAAATAAGTAAGAGCGGTATTTAAGTTGAAGTTCCACTGACTTCGTTAGAGAGCCAGAGATTCTGACTAGCTCGCGTTTGCCTTTTGGCTACACTCTCTCTAAGCTATTACTACACTCGACCGTATCTTAGGCCCTTGATAGCTTCGCCAGCTTAATTGATATTTAGGGGCCAACTACTTAGAAATCTTGATAGCTTCGGTTATATCTTTTAGTTAAGCTTTAGTTGAGTTTCATTTCTTACTACCTTGAGTTCAAGCCCAAGTGGAGGCTTTTCTGTACGTCCCGAGAAAGGGACCATCTGCGAACTTCTTATTTTGAGAAGTAAAGGGTAATTAACCCTTATTGAGTTTTACGTATCTGTTCATGAACTAAAGCGAATATTCGCTTACCTGTTCACAAGGTTCCTACACACTTAGCTGTTAGATAAAAGGTTGGAACCCCACAACAGAATCAAACAAATGTATTTATGCATATCCTCTGCTATGCAGGTTTCTATTCTTTTGTTTATATGCTTTATATGTTAGTTACTTGTTACTTACTTAATGCAACGTTATAATAACACAAGCCAAAACAAAGCAAAACTAATGCTAAAATTTTGGAGCTACAAAACTATTGAAGAACAATCTAAAACGGAGAATAACTTTGCAAAAACATAAATAACTAATATAATTATTGACAAAACCCGCTTTGCACTTAGACAACTAAAAATCCTGAAAGGTAAAAGCATATTTTTCCCTTGAACTCTGGTATACAATCCAGAAGCATTGTTCATTATGCAAAAACATTATCAAGGTCGAATTTTATAGTTCTGGAATGTTTTCATCAAACTTCAGAAATTCTCATCAGAAAAACAGATTTAATTAATAGGGGGACCGGAAAGTAATGTTGTTTCTGCGCATGTCGACAACAACATGCTAAGGGCAGAAGTGGAAGCAAATCCATGTCAAACACTCTTAACCATCCTTGGTCGACCATCCAAGAACATTTAAAGCAAAATGGGAACATAAGCAAAGCAGGTGTTTGATCCTCCCATAATCTGTCCGAAAAGAACAAAGCCAACCTATCCATCACATCCAACATATTGCTTCAACGGCACCATACAGAACCGTTTTTTGATCTTTCGATTACTGGAGACGAAAAATAGGTCCTATATGATAATCCAAAATGCAAAAGGCAGTGGCTCTCTCCAAATGAACGGGTTTACATCCCAAAAAGGTGCTGCTGTGCGTTTGGTCGAATATTCGCGGAATCGTTCATTTTGAATTGCTGAAACCTGGATAAACTGTTAATGCAGACCTCTAGTGGGAACATTACATTGAGTGAACCAATCTTTAATCGAAAAATGTCCGGCGATTGTCAACAGAAAAGGCGACATTCTGCAACGCGACAATGCAAGACCGCACAGTGCTAGACGAACAGTAGAAAAAAATTCATGAATTGGGGTGGGAGGTACTGCCTCACCCACCATATTCGCCTGATATCGCAGCATTGGATTTCCATTTATTCGGATCCCTACAACATTTTCTTAGTGGCAAAAAATTTGTAAATTTGGATCATGTCCAAAATATCCTCTCGAGATATTTTCCTCAAAACCAATTGATTTTTATCGGTCCGGGATTGAAAATCTGCACATTAGATGGCAAAAGGTTGTTGATAACGAGGGTGATTATATTATTGATTAAAAATAAAAACTTGTTAAAAATGTATTCGTTTGAATTTAATGTAAGAAAGCGACATTACTTTCCGGTCCCCCTATTATTTGCACTGCTGAAGTTTTATCTCCAAAATAACTACACTGTTTCAAGTCATACGAGCTGGCCTAATCTCAGTAAACTTTCTTTTACTTACAAGTTTCTAGAGTAAGCCAGCTTGGAAAAAATAAGAATGAAAAAGACGGAATAAAATGAATTCTAAATGGTTAGTCAAAACTTAAATTTTACTTGATTTGCAATTTAATAAAGCAAATGTTGAGTCAATTTTCTTTCGATAAAGATATAGAAAATTAAATGCAATTTATTTTTTCTCAGTAGACTTGCTTCAAGGGGTTCTTAGCAATTTTGGTAAAGAAAATTATTGAGAACATGTTTTCGCCCATCAGTGATCCAGCGGTTAAGACCGCTGAATATCGGCAGTTCAAACTGGATTCGAACCCATGCGAACGAGCTGGCTGCATGGTTAGTTTTCCTCATGTGTAACATGAATACGGCCAATTTCTAGCTGCAAGTCTTCCTTAAAAGCTTCCCTCTCCTTAGTCAGCTACTTCTTGTAAACTTTGCCATATTAAAAAATAAACTCTGACCTAATTAAGTTCTGTCTAAAAATCTGAGAGAAAAGTAATATAATATTTGCTTCGATTTTATACATACTGTAAACATCTTCGAAATCAGGACCTATGTTTATCAGATACGATTAAATACGCTATTTTAGGCCCATGCTTTGTAAATATAGATATTAATAACTAAGGCTTAGAGGTGATTCTTCTTTTAAAAAGAGGATCAGTCTCAAATTAGGCGTTTCAAAAGTTTTCTCCCATTCTATGAGTTTTAATAAGATTTGTACGTTAGTTATTACTCAGAAGTAATTTTTGTTTCGTAGGAAATTTCAGTTTATTCTGCTGCTGAAAATGTTGCTTGCTTATTTTTTGTAGTTTTGTAAAATCTCAATCCAGAAACGCTTAGAAGTATTGCTTTACTTTTCAAATCTTAAACTCATGTCGTGTACGCGTTTTTTTTTGTTTTTTTTTTTTTTTTGAAAACGGGGAATTATTTAAAATTTTTATTTGATGTTGCCATTCTCGAAGAGAAAATTTTGAATCATCAGAATATGCCATCAAATTTGCTAACTTTTTATTAATTCTTTTATTACTTTTACTATTTCTGCTTTCTTTAGTATTTACCTTTCTTACATCTTCCTTTAAAGAATAGAATAAGTAATTTTTTTTGAAGAAATAAAAAGCACGTTTTTATTTCTTCAGCAAGCACATAAACTTGATTCTTTGTTGAAGACGTAAACAAGGGCAGTATTATGACAAACAGTAATTTTAAAATAACCAAGGCTAATAAAAAAACACAATTTACATATCCATTCAGAGTAACTTCAAAGAACCATATTATTTCTTTAATGTATGCAGAATAAAATAAAATTCAGTTTTAAAAGATCACACGAATGCATTTATTTCACATACCACGTACTCGAATGAAATATTCTAACCAGTATCGAATGATGAAAACAGCTTTAATTTTTTCTCCAAAGTTCAAGGAACCAACACATCGTGAAAGAATTTAATGAGTTGAGAAAACATATTAAAACTTTCTATGGGCTTCATGCGCAGAGTTTATACACGT